GGAGACCACACATCTATGTGGGAGGAAGAAGTGGAACTTTGTTGGTGGATGAGGCGATCTTGCAAATAGAAAATTCTACAAAACCTGCTGTAAAACAGATCACCGACCCTCAGAGGAATGCAAATCAAAACACCAATGAATGGGGCCCAGCATGATAGCCCAGCGGCTATAGTCCTCGCCTGGAACGCACCAGGATCCCATATGGCCTCCGGTTCATGTCTCGGTGGCCCCATTTCCCATCCAGCTCCCTGCTTGTGGCCTGGGAAAGCAGTGTAGGACGGCCCAAAGCCTTGGGAGACCTGGAAGAGGCTCCGGACTCCTGGCTTCAGATTGGCTCAGATCCAGCTGTTGCCTGTGTCACTTTGGCATTTGTCGGTGGGTGCTATAGTCTGTTCCCATTTCAGCTCACATTGATTGGAGCTGCCATCTAACCCAGCACAGTGAACCCCCAGTCCCAATACTAATATGAGCTTTCTCGCCCATGTCCTGGCTGTGGTGGGTCCATTTCCAGGTAGGCTCTTCCTACCACTGTCTTGCCAGCTGCAGCAGGTGGCTCTCCCAGATGTTCTAGCAGCAGAGGGGAGGCCTTTCTGTATGGCTGCAGGGAGGGGCAGCGGCCGGGCCAGGAAGCAAAGTGGCTACCAGCAGAGTGTGCGGGAGTTGGTGGTTGCTTAGCAGCGCTGGAAGTTGCCAAGGGTTTGTGTTTTCATGGGATGCCAGCCGTGGGTCCAGCTAAGATAAGCCAGCGTCTTTATGGGGTGCTGCCTTAGCCCGCTGTGCCAACACTGTGGCCCTTGATCCAAATCTCAAAGGCCGAGGAGCTTTACAGGAAAAGTAAGCCCTGGTAGCAAACAAAGGCAAGATTTCAGACCTAGGCTAAGGGCGAAGAACCGAGTTAAAGAAAGGAAAATGTTGGGCAGGAAAACCACATCCACGCTAGAGGCAGATTTAGTTTTGCTCACACAACATTTTTAGAAATGTTTGAATTGGCTGCCAACATTGACGGATCTGGAGGGCTCACAGGAAAATCTCCACTGCTCGTGCAGCCAAGCTCTGCCCCACCCCACCATTCCCCTGCTGCCCCTTTTCCACAGCTCTGTGTGTGTGTTGTTATTTGAAAGGCAGTTACAGAGAGAGACAGGAAGAGATCATCCATCGGCTGGCTCGCTCCCCGAATGGCTGGGACTTGGCTATGCCAAAGAAAAGCAGCTGCACTCTATCTAGGTCTTCCACGTGGGTGCCAGAGGACCAGGCACTCGGACCATCTTTTCTGTCTCGGGCTTATCATTGGGGAGCTAGCCCAGAAGCTGAGTAGTGGGGGACTCAAACCAGCACTCATGTGGGATGCCAGCATTGCAGGCAGCAGTTTAATGTGCTTTGCCACATCAGACCCAGACTTTTCAAACGTGCTTCAACCTCCCCTCTTAGTGCATTTAGTTCTTGGAGTCAGGTCATTCATACCGCCAAAATGTTCCCTATTCCAGACATATGTCATTCGCTTTCTCATGGCGTTGCTGAACCTGTGCATTCTGCATTGATTTCATCGTGCTTGGAATGGCGAGATTGGCAGCAATTCGTAAGTGTTGCGTTATCAAAACCACTTGAGCAGCACCCTTGGAGCATGCCACACATTGGGCACCTGGGATGGGTGGGAGGCTGGGTGGGGCTTCTCCCTTTATCTCCCCCTTTACCTCAGATACAGAAAAAAAAAATAATGTGGAAACAATAGTCTGTCTTACCCACTTTCTTGTAGTCCCTGACCCTTTGTGCCCCATCAACTATGTAATGATTGTCAAAAATAATGGAAAAAAATATTTTCATTAAAAAGAGAAAAGTAGGGCCTGGTGTGATAGCTTAGTGGCTAAATCCTTGCCTTGCATCTGCTGAGATTCCATATGGGCTCTGGTTCATGTCCTGGTTGCTCCGCTTCCCGTCCAGCTCCCTGCATACGGCCTGGGAGAGCAGTGGAGGACGGCCCAAAGCCTTGGGACCCTGCACCCACATGGGAGACCTGGAAGAAGTTCCTGGCTCCTGGCTTCAGATCAACTCAGCTCTGGCCGTTGTGGCCACTTGGGGAGTGAATCAGCAGATGGAAGATCTTCCTCTCTGTCTCTCCTCCTTTTTGTCTCTCTGTATATCTGCCTTTCAATAAACATAAGTAAATCTTTAAAAAACAAAAGTGAAAAGTAATTATGACAGTGTTCAAAAAGTTGGTGAAAGCTGTATATTATGAAAAATGTATGCATGGATTTAAAAAAAAATGGTCCAAAGTAAATTTACATTTTAACTTAATTTTCCATAAATTTTAAAAATTTACTCCTGAAGCAGAGAGAGAGAGCGCTACCATGTAGTTCACTCCCCAAATGCTGGTATGTTCCAGGGCTGAGCTGGGATTCCATCTGGCCTTCCATGTGGGTGAGAGGAACTCAACCACTGGAGCTGCCACCTGTTGCTGTGCAGGGTGCCCGTTAGCAGAAAGCTGGAATCCAGGGGCAGGGTGGGGGTTGGGGAGGAGGCATGGAGGAGGGCAGGGCTCTGCTGTGGGCCGCGGATATCTTAGTCCTTCTTAACTGCCAGGTCTCCCCCCAAAGAACATCTTTTTTTTTTTTTTTTGGTAAAGATTTATTTATTTTTATTGGAAAGGCAGATATACAAAGAGGAGGAGAGACAGAGAGGAAGATCTTTCATCGATGATTCACTCCCCAAGTGGCCGCAACGGCTGGTGCTGCGCCAATCTGAAGCCAGAAGCCAGGAACTTCTTCCGGGTATCCCATACGGGTGCAGGGTCCTAAGGCTTTGGGTCGTCCTCGACTGCTTTCCCAGCCCACAAGCAGGGAGCTGGATGGGAAGCGAGGCCGCCGGGATTAGAACTGGTACCCATATGGGATCCTGGTGCATTCAAGGTGAGGGCTTTAGCCGCTAGGCCACGCTGCTAGGCCCTGAACATCTTGAAGTATCCTTGCAGTGCATTATGTAGCAGAAAGAGGAAGGGCTTCAAGCACAGCTTGATGCAGATTCTCAGATGATGTCCAGATGGTGGCCATCCTCACAGCAGCTTCCCTCTGCAGTCGGCTTTTCCTTTCTGGTGTCGAGGCAACCAGTATGAGTGCTGCACCTGTCTCCTCTCAGCTCTTCAAGCCCCCATGGCCAAGCAGGCGATGGGGAGACAGCAGGAGCAGCAGCAGGTGGCCAAGCAGTGTTCCACTGTTGCCACAGGGGGCATCGACCCCTGGGGGGCCCAAGGCCTGCTTCCTCCACTGCTCACCACCAGCTACGGGGCTCAGCAGCCACCTGCTGACCACAGCTTCCCGGCCCTGGCCTGGCACCTGTGTTGTGTAGCAGCTCCTTGCATTCATGCCCTGTTGCATCACAGACCAACTCAACCAACTGACCGACTGGAGTCGGGGCAGCCTGTGCCCTGCCCCACCCTCACCTTCGCCCCTGAGGCCCAGGGTTGCATGTTCAGGTCCTTCATCATCCTGCCTGTTTTCTGGTTGACAGCAGGTTCTCCCAGGGCTGAAATGAATCTGTGCCTTCGTTTCTGTTTCTGTGAAAAGGAGACAGCACCTGCCAGTTTGGGGAGCTGCGAGGACCGAATGACCGCAGAATATTCATTGTATTCAGAACGGTGTTCAGCACACAGCAGTACTCTAAACTCGAGCTATTACATTACTTATCTATTTGAAAGGCAAAGTTGAGAGAGATTATTGATAGATTGGTTCATTTCCCAAATGGTTGCAACAGCCAGAGCTGAACCAATAATTCAAAGCTGGGAGCCAGGAGCTTCTTCTGGGTCTCCCACGCTGGTGCAGGACTTGGGGGCCGTCTTCCACAGCTTTCCCAAGCCACAACAGGGAGTTGATGGGAAGTGGGGCATCAGGGACTCAAACACCTATTAGGAATGCTGGCACCACAGCAGAAGCTCCACCCCCACCCCAGTGGTATTTAGAGCAGCACCTAACACCCTTCCCTGGCTACGGTTCCTTTGCCTTCAGTCGGACATTGTGCCTCACTGCCCATTCAGATCCTAGATGATTCAGTGGTAGGCCCTCAGGTGCAGTGTTAACACCTAGGTAACTTTTTTATTACAATGGAATTGCCTGGAAAATGACCACACATGCAGCTTCGTTCTAACCTTTCTGCGGGGAGAACAAATTGCATGTATTCCTAGGAAGGCTGAAGTCCGGTTAGGCCTCTGCCTGAGATCCCGCAGCCAATCCGGGGTCAAGGTGGGCTGTCCGTCAGCCGCGGGGCGGGACTGCAGGTCCTCCTCACCCTGGCAGGTGCACATCGGAGGCATCTGACACCAAGCCGGGCCACTGTCCTGAGGGCTGGTGGAGGGCTTTCCTCCTTATAACTCTACGAGGGAGGAACAAACTGAAGCTGGCCTGGCCAAGTTACTCAGCAGGTGTGTCTGTAGTGGGCCTCTCTCCGATGCTGCTGCCTCCAGGAAGCCGCCCCTCCACTCCGTCCCCCGGACTCAAAGATGGGAATGAACTCTTTCTCCGGGCGGGGGGGCTGATCCTGGGGGTACCCCCTCCCTCAGCGTTCTGTGAGTCCTGTGGGCAGCGAGCTCTCCAAGGGTGGACAGCCGGTCCCCTCCCATGCGAAGCCCCTTGCCGCAGTAGGTCCCTCCCTGAGCCGGGGGGGGGGGGGCAAGCGCCCTGCGTGAAAACACGGCACTCTCAGCCCATCCCCCGCGTGGAAGCCGCGCAGACCCGACTTAGCGGAGGGGTTCCTGGGGCTCTCGCCGGGCAGCCCTTGGCACGGCTGGGACGACGCCAGGGCCATATCGGGGAGGGGGCTGCGGTGGCGGCGGGATTGCCAGGAGGCGCACGCAGGGTGCGTGTGCACCTGCGGCGCGCAGGTTCGGCCCCGCTCGGGGAACTGGCAGGCTGGGCAGAGCGCGCGGCGGCGGTGGCGAAGCTGGGCAGGGCGGGTCCGTCCTCTAGCTCCGCCCAAAGGGGCGCTGCCACCCGAGGAGGCGGCGCCCGGCTGCCCCTCATTCATTGTCTTGACAAGAGCATCCTCCGCCGCCAGTCTTCGCTCCTGCAGCTCCTTCCTTCTCCTCCTCCTCTTCCTCTCCCTCCTCCGTCTGGGGGTCCGCTCGTCTCTCGCAGCAGGTAAAGCTGGGCCCCGCGGGGAGAGAGGAGGCGGGCTGGCCTGGCCTCGGAGACCTGGAGCCGCTGCCCCAGGGCCACCTGTGGGGCAGACGCGAGCGTGGGCGCGCCGCGGGCGGGTAGGCGGCTTGGCCCTGCCTCGGGTGTGGATGGAGAGGAAGGAGGCTGGGGCCCCGGGCGTTCTGGGCAGGTGCGGCGTGAGTGTACCCCCGCGGCCAAGATGGACGTGGGGACGGCAGCAGGGGGGTGGGTCGGGGCAGATGCCGCTCCGACTTAACCCAGCACCAGGCGGCTCCGTGGGTGGGGGTGGGGGTGGGGGACAGGGTGGGGTGACCGGAGCAGCTGCCCCGAGCATGGAGACGGGAAGGCGTTGAGAGCAAAACAAGAGAAGACCAAGTTCCCCTTTCCGTGGTTTCCGCGCTTGGTACCTGCGGTGGGGGAGGCGGCAGGGTGGGGCGCTGGCTTCCTGTCCCCCACCTCTGATGTGGGGCTCCCTCTCCCGTGGACCGCGGCTGCCCACCTCAGCTCTGGGCTGGGGCCCCTGGCACAAGCTCCTTGCCTCCTTTCTGAGCAAGCAGGCCTGGAGGCTTCTTGAGGGGTGCCAGGGTGGGCAAGGGGGGCTCCAGGAGCCACTTAACCCCAATGAGAAGGGGCCACACTCAAGGCAGGCAGATGGGCACAGCTTGGGAGGTGGGCAGAGGCTGGGGGCAGGGTGGTCTCTCCGTGTGGGCACCAGAGTGACCAGGCATCCAGTTGGGCCCAAGACTGCTTGCCCATATTCCTCCCCCTACCACCTCCTTCCGCTGGGGACTGCCACCTAGCTGCCCCCAGAGAAGAGACATCCAGCTCTCCCTTTCCATGTGCATACGGCACTCTTGGGCACCTGCTAGATTTCTGAGCGGAGGCGGGAAGAGGAGGCGTGGAGAGGGGAGAGGCTGGCCCCAAGCCATCGTCTGCCAGTGGCATTAGAGACTGCCAAGGAAGCCGCCATGCCAACCTAGCTGGCTCCTGGGCAGACCCCGGGCCCCAGCCCTGCCCCCACCTGTCAAGCGTGCATTGTGAGGGACTGGGCGCTGGATGCAGCAGCTGCCTGGGCTGCTGCTCCCACAGTTGGAGCCATGACACAGAGGGAGGATGCTGTGGTCAGCCGTCTGTCTGTCCATCAGTCAGTCAGTTGACAAGCATACCCTGGGCCCCAGCTCTGGAGAGGCTGAGAGTGCAGGACTGATTCACAGGGTGGTTCAGGGGGACCTGGGAGGGTGCAGCAGGTGGCTGGCAGGTGAGACGGGAGTGGGAAGGGTGGCAGACTTGTTGGGACCGTGCTAGGACCTAGAAAGTTGGTCTGCGTGTCCTCCCTCACTAGGGGAGCGTGTGGGAGACAGGGGGACATGGTAAGGTCCGAGCTGACCCCTGAAGGGACAAATGCTCTTGACCCGTGTGCCTGCAGAATGAGCCGGCAGGTGGTTCGCTCCAGCAAGTTCCGCCACGTGTTTGGACAGCCGGCCAAGGCCGATCAGTGCTATGAGGACGTGCGCGTCTCCCAGACCACCTGGGACAGTGGCTTCTGTGCTGTCAACCCCAAATTTGTGGCCCTGATCTGTGAGGCCAGCGGGGGCGGGGCCTTCCTGGTGCTGCCCCTGAGTAAGGTGAGCCTCTGGAGGTCAGGGCCTGGGGACCTCCACTCCCACCCTCCAGGGTGCCTACGGGGGGCTGGACGAGGTGGCTGTCACCAAGCCTTCCTGGGTGGTGGCGCTGTCACCTATGGGACAGAGCTGTACAGGATGAGCCTTAACCTCCCTCTAGTTCCCTGGGTGGAAGGGCAACCCAGAGCCTCACCCTGGGGCTCCCATGGGGTCCTGCTAGCAATGCTGAACCAGCCCTGCTCCACCCCAGTCAGTGCAGGTGGCTGTCCTCTCTCTGTGAGCCCTGCTGGGGGCTGACCCTTGGGCCCTGACACTGTCCTCCACCCTAGGGCAGGGTTCACTCCGGTGCTTTCTGGAGGGGGGGAAGGGACAGGAAGTGAGGAGGGGCCCAAAATTGTTACCTTAAAAGGCCCGATGGGAGCCAAGAGGAGAGGAAGTGGTTGTCGGGGTGAGCTGGGCCCTCGCCCCGCTCGCTCCCCACACAGGAAGCCCTGCCGGGGCAGCTGGCCCCGGAAGAGGCAGTTTCCCAACCTCTGCTTCTGCCCGGGGGGGACCTAGGGGGGCAGATGGCTCTCCTGGGTAACCACTGCCGCCCCACTGTTGTTGCTGCTCTCTTTCCCAACCTTACTTGGGCCCAGGGCCTGGGCCTCACGTGTCCACACAAGTCTTGCTCAGGGAAGCTGGTCAGGGTGGGGACCCTCAGGACACAGACTCGGGGAGGAGATGGGCAGGGCTGGTCCAGGGTCGCCCCAAGCCCTGTTCCCCAAAGGCAGCGTTTGGCCCCAGAGGGCAGAGGACACCTCCCTGTGCCTGGGCTGGACCTCTCTGAAGGCTGCAGGGGACTGAGCTGGGTTTGAGGGTCAAGGCACCTGCTATATCCTCTAGACTGGTCGAGTGGACAAGAATGCACCTACAGTCTGTGGCCACACGGCCCCCGTGCTGGACATCGCCTGGTGCCCTCACAATGACAATGTCATTGCCAGTGGCTCTGAGGACTGCACCGTCATGGTGAGCACAGAGTCGGGGGGAGGGGGCGGGTGGGGGAGACATCCACAACTTGGGATACACCAGGGACTCATCAGCCCCTTCTCTACAGGTGTGGGAGATCCCCGACGGGGGCCTGACTCTGCCCCTGCGGGAGCCTGTGGTCACCCTAGAGGGCCATACCAAGCGCGTGGGCATTGTGGCCTGGCACCCCACTGCTCAGAACGTGCTGCTCAGTGCAGGTGCGCCATGGGAGGTGGAGGGTGCAGAGTGGGGCTCACGCTGACCCCCGCGGTGGGTGAGGGAGCTCGTAGCCTCTGACACGGGGGCACCCCACAGGCTGCGACAATGTGATCCTGGTGTGGGACGTGGGCACTGGGGCGGCCGTGCTGACACTGGGCTCCGACGTGCACCCGGACACCATCTACAGCGTGGACTGGAGCCGTGACGGTGCGCTCCTCTGCACTTCCTGCCGCGACAAGCGTGTGCGCATCATTGAGCCGCGCAAAGGCACAGTAGTGGCTGTGAGTGACCCCTGACTCTTCATCCCCCCCCACCGTCCCCTGGGGGCTCCCGGCTGCCATCCTCCCTTGTTGTCCACCTAGGGGTGTTTGGGGTGGGAGTGGGAGCAGTGACCCACTGCCTCTCCTCCCTGAAGGAGAAGGACCGTCCGCATGAGGGGACCCGTCCGGTGCACGCTGTGTTTGTGTCAGATGGGAAGATCCTGACCACGGGCTTCAGCCGCATGAGTGAGCGGCAGGTGGCGCTGTGGGACACGGTGAGTGCGAGGCCCCGGGCGGGAGTCCAGGCTGACATTTGGTCCCTGCACCCCCTGCGCTGGCGCTGGCCGTGCCTGGGTGGGCACATGTCTCTTTGATCGGGGTTTCTGGTGGTCGGCCCGGGAGGGCGCTCAGTGACCCGCGGTATCCCCGGGGCGTGGCCTGGCCCACTGACTCCGCACCTCTTCCCGTGGCAGAAGCACCTGGAGGAGCCGCTGTCTCTGCAGGAGCTGGACACCAGCAGCGGCGTCCTGCTGCCCTTCTTCGACCCCGACACCAACATCGTCTACCTCTGTGGCAAGGTGGTGGCCGGCGGCGGGGGTGGGCAGTGACCAGGAGGGGGCGGCTGGGCACCCACCAGGGCTGCTGTTGACCATCCCTGGTGCCTCCCCATCTCAGGGCGACAGCTCTATCCGCTACTTTGAGATCACCTCGGAGGCCCCGTACCTGCACTATCTCTCCATGTTTAGCTCCAAGGAGTCCCAGCGGGGTATGGGCTACATGCCCAAACGGGGCCTGGAAGTGAACAAGTGCGAGATCGCCAGGTGAGCGGCCGCGCCCTCCTCACCGCCCCTGGCCGGCCAGCCCCCTGGGCACCTGCTTACCTTCCTGTTCCCACAGATTCTACAAGCTACACGAGCGCAAATGTGAGCCCATTGCCATGACAGTGCCTAGAAAGGTGAGGCTGTGCACCCCCTGGCTTGGCTGTGGCAGTGGGAGCATAGCGTCTAAACTTTCTAACCAAAAGTCTTGACCTGGCCCGCAGTCCGACCTGTTCCAGGAGGACCTGTACCCACCCACTGCCGGGCCTGATCCTGCTCTGACAGCTGAGGAGTGGCTGGGTGGCCGAGATGCCGGACCCCTCCTCATTTCTCTCAAGGACGGCTATGTGCCCCCAAAGAGCCGGGAGCTCTGTGTCAACCGGGGCCTGAGCTTGACACGCAAGAAGACAACGCCAGAGGCCACCGCCGCTGGCTCGGTGAGGGGCGGATACCCCGGGCAGGGAAGGGAGACAAGGGCTTGGGGCTGCCAGGAGTCAGATGTGGGACAGACTGGGGCTTTGGCCAAAAAGTACTGGGCAGACGGACCTGCAGCTACCCAGGGAGTGGGAGGGGAGGGCAGGCAGCTACTTGCTGGACAAGAGGGCCCATGCCCAGGGCTGTGGATCTGGCCTGACGGTGCTGGGCCCTCAGGACACTGTCTCCAGGCTGGAGGAGGAGCTGAGGAAGCTGCAAGCCACTGTGCAAGAGCTACAGAAGCGCCTGGACAGGCTGGAGGAGGCGGTGCAGGCCAAGTAGAGCCCCTGGTGCCCTGCCCACGCTGCAGGCCACTGTGGCCAAGAAGGAAAAGAAATCCTAATAAAATGGCTTTATTTTCTGGTACCGCTCAGACTTCACGCACTGGTCACCCACAGGGCCAGCCCCGCAGCCAGCCTGGGTGAAGGGCCTGCCGCTCACTTCCCAGCACCTGCTCTGACCTGGTGGGGCCATCACTGGGGGCCTAACCTGGCAGCCTCCAGACCTCTGGGGTCAGCAGCCACCATGTGGCCGCTAGTAGTGAGTGAGTGTGTGTTGGGGTGGGGGGACGCACTGCCTGGCATGCAGGTGGCCTGGAGAACAAAATCCTAGAAAAGGCTTAGAACCACGATGGCCTGCTACACAGGGCAGGGGACAGGCTAGATGGAGAGCAGGGCCATGCATTACAGCCAGGTGGCTTCTGGTTCTCTCTTGTACCTCCTGGGCTACCCCTTCCAAGTGGCCCATCAGGGCCTGGCTTCCGTGGGATTGGATGTCCATCCCAGGGCTGTCCATCCTTAGCAGATGAGGGCCACCTAAGGCCCTGTTCCCTGTAACCCTCCTCTCCTGCCAAGAATTCCCTGAGGGCGACCCTGTGGGTCACACTCCCTGCCTTGCACAAGCCTGGTGATACTGGGCAGGTCACTTCTCCACAGGACTCAGATGCCTGTTAACACGGGCGGGGCTGGGGGGTACCAGCACAGCTCAGCCAGTGCTCAGATTTTGGGGGAGACACCCCATCAAGGGCCCTACAGAAGTAGACCTGGCCCCTTGTCATCCTTCTGACCCTGGGGGAGCTAAAGAAAAACCCAGACGGATGCCCTCTGTGCCCCAAATGGGTTCCCAACCATCACCAGACCTTCCAGCCCTTCCTGCCCCTTCTGTCTCCTAGGGGAACAAGAAAGGGAGGTGGGAGGAGGGGGAGGCCACTTAGAGAACTGGCCTTGGGGGACACAGGGGGACCGACTGGCTGGCAGGGCTGCAGGCTGCCATTTGTCAACCATGCCCTTCCCCACTCCCGCCGATCCTTGGTCCTCTCCTGGGTTACCGCTGTCTGTCTTGGATCCCACACACCTCTGTGCCGGGTGATCCCCACCCTCACGCCCCATGGTTAAGACTGGCATGAGAAGCATCCATCAGCTGCCCCCTCTTTGTGGCTCATGGTGGTCCTCTTGTACCACTGTGACCCTGTCTCTATGCCCTGCCCTCCATCTCTCATTCTTGAAAACCCCTTGGTCTCTCCAGGGGCAGCCGTGGCCGGCTTCTGGAACCTTTTCACAGTGGTCCAAGACAACTCCTGCTGGGATTGCAGGTTGGAGGGGTGAGGCAGAGGATGCGTGCTGTCAGAGTCTGGGTGTATGGGTGTGTGGGAGGAGCTTGTTCCTGAACCTGGAGCACTTTCTCATCATTCCCTGGTGACACAGAACTGGCACACAGCTCCCCTGGGGAGCAGGTGAGCCGGCTCAGAGCCTCACAGGCAAAACCCAGACAGGTGGGCTGGGCCACGCCAGGTCCTAGACCCCTACACCCCCTTGCCAGCACGTGGACACACACACACAGAGCCAGCCCCGGGTCATTCTTTAATGGAACCGTGCAGGTCCTGGTCCTTCATTTCGATTGCTCCCGGGCCCACTGCCCCGGCGTCAGGGTTTTCTGCTCGAACGCGTGGATATGCGGGAGCTCTTCCGATAGACATTCGTTCACCAGCCTGGGGCGGCAGAGACCCGGGACAAGTTAGGCGGCGGGCCCCAAAGCCAGCGTGACCCCAGGACAACGGGTAGCGTCCCCAAGGTCCCAGGCTTGGCCACGAGGACGGGATGCTCGGGGGTGCTGGGCAGTGCCGCAGGGCTGGGTGAGGGCGGCACCCCCGGGGCTCACCGGTGTCTCTGCAGCAGTGGCTTCCCCTCGAACTTGGTGGACACCACCAGGACTCGGAAGCTGGTGGCGCAGCGGTTGGGGGTCGTATCCTCCACCTCCTGCCAGGCGGGGAACAAAGTCTCTGCTGCCGAACCCGCCTCCCCTCACGCCCCGGCTCCATTCCCGTCATCGGGTGGCTTCAGGGGATCTCGACTCACCACATGCTCAGCTTCCAGGTCCCGCTGCAGCTTCTCCCGGAGGTAGTGGGCGCTCAGCTCCATGGCCGCAGCCATGAGGGGAGAAAACCCCACCTCGCACTGGCCACTCTGCTTTCCGCCCTTATTGGAGCCACTTCCGTCGAGGCAGAGACTTCCGCCCTTCCTAAGGCGGAACTTCTGCCCTGACGCGAGGTCGCCTTGCCCACAGTCGCTGGTTAACCAATCGGAGCTTATTTTAAAAAAAAGACTCTGCCGAGGAGAACGCTCATTGGCTGGCGCTCCGACCGGGAGAGGGTGTCCGAAGCCGCCTTGCTGGGGACATGCAGGGTGTCTTTCTGCGAAACAGGCATCTTGTACCCCCAACCACATGCCCCTTCCTGGGGTCCCGGGTTAACTACGATTGATCTCCACCCCCGGCTTCTGATCCCCGAGTCCCGATGAGCCCCGTGGAGGCCGCGGTCAAGCCGGGGCGCTTCTTCGGCGTCTACCTCCTCTACTGCTTGAACCCTCGGCATCGGGGCCGCGTCTACGTGGGGTTTACTGTCAACCCTGCTCGTCGGGTCAGGCAGCACAATGGGGGCCGCAAGAAGGGCGGAGCCTGGCGCACCAGCGGACGAGGGCCTTGGTAAGAAGGCGCGGGTCCCGGCACCGGCAGCGGGATTCCTGGAGCTGCAGGGCTGGGCCTGCTAAGGTGATGGACAGGGCTGGAGGGCGGGGCCAGTGTCTGGGGGCGGGGCCATCCAGGGTCAGCGGGTGGGGCCAGTGTCTGGGGGCGGGGTCATCCAGGGCCAGCGGGCGGGGCCTGTTTCAGGTGATGGACAGGGCTGGAGGTGTGTGGGGACGGGGCCTACTAGGGGGCGAGGCGTGGATTGTTGCAGGGGTCTGATGATGATAGCTAGGGTTCCGCGGTAGAGGAATTGATGATCAGGGCCAGGGCTGAGGACGTGTAAGAGCTGCGACTGGGGGCGCAGCCTAGGTCGACAGGTGCGAAGGGGTCTCTGGGTGAAGTGAGCGCAGGGGGCGCAGCCTGGTGGCAGGGCGTGCAGCCAGGTGGTGAGGTCCCGCTCTCGGCGGGACACCAAGCCAATCTTTGGGAGGGCCTAGCGGCTTTGCACCAAGGCGCCGCCAGGTCACAGGTTCTCCTCCCCAGGGAGATGGTGCTCATCGTGCATGGCTTTCCGTCTGCGGTGGCAGCCCTCCGGGTAAGAGGGGACTAGGGGCCCAGCGAAGGGGCTGCCCCTTGCCCCAGGCCTCAGGCCCCTGACCACGCTTTCCTCCCACCTGCCCCGCAGTTTGAATGGGCCTGGCAGCACCCGCACGCCTCGCGCCGCCTGGCACACGTGGGGCCGCGTCAGCGCAGCGAGGCCTCCTTCGCCTTCCACCTGCGCGTGCTGGCGCACATGCTGCGCGCGCCGCCCTGGACGCGCCTCCCGCTCACGCTGCGCTGGCTGCGGGCAGACTTCCGCCAGGAGCTGTGCCCGCCGCCCCCACCACACATGCCACTCTCTTTTGGGCCGCCGCCACCCCGGGCCTTGGCCCAGAGGCGCTGCGCAGGGACCCTTGCGGACACGGAGCCCTCGCCTGAAGCGCAGCAGGAATCTGAGGTCTCCTGCGCCCTGTGCTTTCGGGTGCTGCAGGTGAGGCATGCCCCCATGAAGGCATGGGGCTGGAGCTCAGGCCACCTGGGACCCATCAGACAACGCTAGCCACATCTTTGGCCATCACGGCCCATCTCAGAGGTGGGGACTACTATCCTCCTGGACAGGACAGGCCAGACTGGAAGGTTCTTGCACAGGACGTCTCCCCTCCCCCTTTTAATATTGTCCTGTTTGATAGACAGTGGATCTTCCATCCACTGATTCACTCCCACATGCCTGCAACAGCCAGGGCTGGATCATACTGGAGCCAGGAGCCAGGAACTCCAACCGGATCTCCCCCATGGGTGGCAGGGACCCCCAGTACCTGAGGCATTGCCTGCTGCCTCCCAGGGTGCATATGAGCAGGAAGCTGGGTTCGCACCCTACCCCCTGGGTACTTTGGGCCACTCGAATGCCTCCCTGGCAGCCACTCCACCCTGTGCTAACTGCCTGCCCCACCCCTTGTTCACATGCACTTTCATAACATGTTGTTCACTTGAGTACAGCAGCGGGATCCAGGAACAGGGAGTAAATTCAACAGCTGTCCTGCCCTGTTGTTGCTGAGTCAGCACAAGTTGGAGGAACCCAAGTGTCTGCCCCTACTGTCACCACTGCAGATTCCAGGGGAAGGTGGCCAGCTCAGTCCCCATGGACCTTGTCTGTATGTGAATTAGGGGACTTTCTAGTGTCTGCAGGGTCACATGTGAGCCCTGGACAACCAGCCCCAGTCTGTGAGTGGCTGCTCCTGCCCTGGAGGCACCACTAGCCTGTCCTGAGCAGAGGTTGACAGGAGGCCTGTGAAGTTCATGTCCTCCAATGAACACCTCTGTGCCTCCAACGCCCTGCCTGCCTTTGACTTCTAATCCAACAGCAAGGACAGAAGCTGAGGTTGGAGGGAACTGCCTACCCCTGTGGGTGCCCATGACTCTCTTGGGACCCGTGCCTCAGTGTTCCCAACCTTAGCCTGAGCCTCCTGGGATACATGCTCTTTATCAACCATGTTGTACTCCTGTCCTCTTGTCTCCCCTTGCCCTGGTGACATGCCATCTCCAACAGGATGCAGAGGGTCCCCTGTGCTGCCCGCACCCTGGCTGTGGCCTGAGGGCCCACGTGATTTGCCTGGCGGAGGAATTCTTGCGGGAAGAACCAGAACAGCTGGTACCACTAGAGGGCCAGTGCCCTAGGTGAGAGCTGTCTCCCCCAAGCCAGGTCCAGTTCCACAAGAGGTGGCCTGATGGGGCAGTCCACAGACTTGGGGTTACTGAGTGACTGTCCCACCATCCATGCCTTTGACAGCTGTCAGAGTTCACTGCTCTGGGGAGACTTGGTGTGGCTGTCCAGGACGGGCATTGAGGAAGATGATGATGACTCAGATGCAGAAGAGGTAAGGGGTGGCTTTGCCTTGACCTCCCTGCCTGCTTCCATGCATCCGGCTGCCTCTGACCTACTCTCTCTTTCCAGGAACACTGGACCGACTTGCTGGAGACCTGATCTACCACCCACCGCCTTTCCTCTCCCCCTTGCTTGGGCCACCCGCCAAGGTCTGGGTGGTTTTAATTTTGAGTACAATAAAACATTTGAGTTAAGGGGACCCGCCCTGTGATGGGGGGGGGAGGCAGACGGCACTGCTGTTACTGCCTGCTCTGAGCTTGGGGGCACTCATGGATGCACAAGCTCTTGACCTCCAGTATCTCCCATGTGGGTGGCAAGGCCTCGAGGACTCGGGCCAGCCTCTGCCGCCTTCCCAGGCGCACTGGCAGAGAGCTGGAGCAAAGTGGAGCAACCAGGACTTCAGTGCAGCTCCTGAGTATGCTGGCACTGTAGGTGGCACTTTCCCTGGCATGTCCCAACCTCATGGCTCCTGGCTTTGGACTTTAACCTTGAACCCCTGAGAAGAAAATGCCCCCTGCAGGAGGACCCACAGGAGCCAGGACGCTGGGCTCCATCGGACTGCTACATTCCTGTCCTCGGGTGACGTCAAGAGGAACTGCCTCAGAACAAAGACTTCCTCACCCCGCTGTCCATCCCTGCCCACCCACATCCCGGTGGACTCCCCTCCTGGCCAGAGCCATATGTCCCTGGGTTGCTGCAGTCTAATCCCCTCAGTGTCTCAGACCTGGAGCCACCTGAAAGGCAAGTGGTTCTTTTTCTCAAGCCTTCCTGGCCATGTGCCTGTCCCCTGTCCTTTGGACAGTGATAGTATTTTTTTTTTTTTTTGAGCTGTTAACTGGCAGCAGGGGTGGAGTGTGGGGCGGGGTAGGTCAGAGCAATCAGATTACAGTTCAAAAAAACCAAAACTGCCATCCCTTGGCTCTCCTGGCTTTAGTCCTCTTTATGTTTTTTGTTTGTTTGTTTTTTTAACTTTAATTGGGACACAAATAGAAAGAGATCTTCCACCTGCTGGTCACTCCCCAAATGCTAGGCCAAAGCTGGGGGCTGGAGACTCAATCTGGCTGCCCCACACAGGCGGCAGGGACCCCACCACTGGGATTCCCCGGGGTACACATGAGCAGGAAGCTGGAATGGGAGAGAGCTGGGACTGGAAGCTGGGCACTCCAGCATGGTATGTACACACCTTCTTGTATTTTCAAGGAATCCACACTTTGGCTTCTCAGGGAAACACAGGGACCCACCCCCTCCAAGCTCCACCCTTTCCTTGTGGGAGGATAGCAAAGTCCCTGCTGCCCCTGGGCCCTCCCACTTCCTTTCTATAAAGCCCTCAGCTGGGGCAGCTGAGCACTTTGCCAGCCAGCCCTGCAGAGTTCCAGTGCAGGTGTTGCTTCACACAGGTGGTGTCTCAGGCAGCATCCAGAGGTCAGGTGAGAGTGTAATGGGGGGGAGAGGTGTGGGGTGGGCTGACTGAGCCTGGATCCTCCCCTGCCAGGCTCTTGAGGACAGCTCCCTGGGGGTGATTTAGCGGCTCTGCAGCAGCACCTCTGGGAGCTGGAACGCCCCTGCCCTCTCGGCAGACACCCTCATCTTACAGAGGCCTGGTCCAGCAGGCCTGCTTGCCCTTCCTTTTCCACTGCGTCAACACTTTTGCTCACACAACCAACCTCTGCCCCGCTAAAACCCCGCTTGGTTGCTCAACTGGCCATGTTTGCTTGCAATGTGGGTGTGGAGGGGCCAAGGGAGTTGAATGACTATACGGGAAGGGGGGGGGGAGGGAACCCCCCTGGTTGTGAGTTGGCAGCTGCGGCAGGAAGTGATGAACAGGGAGTCGGGATCAGTAAGTCCTAGAGCTCTTTCCAGGACCCAGGGGAAACCTCCAGGGCTCAGAAAAGCTGTTATCCTGGCCTCACCCCAAAGAGGGCTTCCAAGGGTATGGCTGAGCTTGAGCTGGAGCCAGAGCTAAACTGGGCCTGACAAAGCCTGACCCCACCCCCTACTTGCTTGTGAGCCTGAGCAAGTCCCTTAATTCCCAGGCAATCCTGTGTCTGTGTCCTCCTCCAGCCTTTTTTTTTTTTTCTTAATGTAGGGGATTAGTTGTGGCATAGTACGTTAAGCCACCACTCAAGATGCCTCTCTCCTATCTGAGTGCTGGTTTGAATCCTAGTTCCTCCTCTTCTGCTTCAGCTCCCTGGCTGTTGCAGCTATTTGGGGAGTGTGCCAGTGGCTTGGAAGGTCTTTGTCTTCTCCACTTTTTCTGTCACTCCGCCTTTCACATAAGTCATCTTTTTAAACAAAAGGCTGATGTGGAAGGCCGAGTGCCCGGCCTTCCGTGGGTAGCCCCGTCCATGCCCTAAAGCTGTGGCAGGCACAGGGTCCAGCATGGGTGTTGAAGGAGCAAGCCCTGTTCTTCCACAGGGCAGCATGGAGCTCATCCAGGATACGTCCCGCCCCCCGCTGGAGTACGTGAAAGGGGTCCCGCTCATCAAGTACTTCGCAGAGGCGATGGGGCCACTGCAGAGCTTTGAGGCCTGGCCAGACGACCTGCTCATCAGCACCTACCCCAAGTCTGGTAGGTAAGGCAGGCCGCCTTGCTGCCCTCTCCTGCTGGCCTGGCCAAAGGAGCTCACTTCTGCCTGTCCTCTGTAGGCACCACCTGGGTGAGCGAAATACTGGACATGATCTACCACGGTGGTGACCAGCAGAAGTGTTCCCGGGCCCCCATCTACATCCGGGTGCCCTTTTTGGAATTCAAAGCCCCTGGGGCCCCCTCAGGTATGTGATGGGGCAGAGGGAGAGGGAGAGGCAGGAGGGCTGTGGGCACTTGACATTCCTCTGCCTGTGGTCCAGGTATGGAGACTCTCAAAGAAACCCCGGCCCCACGGCTCCTCAAGACGCACCTGCCACTGGCCCTGCTCCCCCAGACTCTGCTGGATCAGAAGGTCAAGGTGAGGCCACTGGGCTGGCCCAGATGACAGGCAATGCTGTCCTGCTACCTGTGGATGAGGACCTGGCAAGGACTCAGCAGGCTGCATCAGAGCCTGGCTGAGATGTCCAGATGGAGACTGCATGTGACATAACACACAGTGTGGAGACCAGCCAGGCCATGGGCACCACATCACACTCTCTAGCAACCTGCCTCTCGGTCTGTTTCCTGCCCTTCCATGCTGAGACGGCTTGCCGCTCAGGGCTGTGGGCAGGGAGGCGCAGGGTATGCTGCGAGTGCAGGCTGTCCCTGTGCACCCCCTCCTCTCTCCTGACAGGTGATTTACATGGCACGTAACGCAAAGGATGTGGCTGTCTCCTATTACAACTTTTATAATATGGCCAAAGTGCACCCTCATCCCGGCACCTGGGACAACTTCCTGGAGAAGTTCATGTCTGGGAATGGTGGGCCTGGCTCTGAGAAGAGGGTAAAGGGCAGGGTGGAGGAGAGGGCAGTGGAAATTCAGCGGAAACTTAGTGGAAACCGTGCCCATTCCAGTGTCCTATGGCTCCTGGTACCAGCACGTGCGGGAGTGGAGGGAGCTGGGCCGCACCCACCCTTTGCTCTACCTCTTCTATGAGGACATGAAAGAGGTAAGAAGCCTGCTGCTGCACCGCCCCCCACCCTGCAGCCGGTGCTGGCCCTGTGCCCTCACCCACCAGCAGCCCACTGCCCCTGTGTGCCAGGCCATCCCCACCTCCTGCCCGGGGCTCCCAGGGCAGCCAGAGCTCAATCCTGGGTGCCTCAGCCAACTGGCCAGACCCCTCTCCCAAGCCCCCACTCCTGCTGCTCTAGAACCCCAAGAAGGAGATCAGGAAGATCCTGGAGTTTGTGGGGCGCTCCCTGCCGGAGGAGGTTGTGGACCACATCGTCAAGTGCACATCCTTCAAGGAGATGAAGGCCAACCCCATGACCAACTACAGCACGCTGCCCTCCAGCATCATGGACCACAACGTCTCCCCCTTCATGAGGAAAGGTCGGGCCCGAGGGGCGGCTATTTGGGTGGGGGCGCAGCGGCAGCAAGCTTGGCCTGCAGCTCCTACCTCTCTCTACCAGGTGTGGCGGGGGACTGGAAGTCCACCTTCACTGTGGCCCAAAACGAGCACTTCGAGGCCCACTATGCCCAGAAGATGGCTGGCTGTGACCTTCCCTTCCGCTCCGAGCTGTGAGGGCTGTGTGCGCAGCTGCAAGGGGGGGGGGGCCCTGCAAGACAATCTAAGCCCATCGGCTGGACAATAAAATAGGATTCGTATCCACAGGGATGTCTGCTGAGCCACGTGCAAACCCAGGCCACTGAGTGAGGAGAGCAAGGGCTGCAGCGCTTGTGACAGTCAGGGCCAAGACATGCACTGGAGAAGGTTTATTGGGTTGCAGAACATCCACAGTGGCTTCCCCAGGGAGGGTGGCTGCACCGGGCGGGTCTGCTGCAGCATCACTTTTTCTTGGGCTCCTTACAGGCCACCACGTACCTCTGGGCCACGTTGAGTGGAGGGGAGTAGCCATCTGCGTAGGAGGTGTCTTCAAACAGGACCGAGTAGTCGTCCTGTGGCTGAGCACACAGGAGGGGCTGGACACTCACTCAGGGCCAGGATGGCCTGCCCAGGGCCCCAGAGCCTGGCCTCTACCACCCTCATCCTCCACTCTAGCTCAGGTGGCCCGGTGCCTGCCTGGGCCTTGGTGCCACAGAACTTCCCCTCAACATCTAGGGCCAAGGGCAGGGGGTCAAGAGTTAGGGCAGAGGGAAAACTCACTCCCCACATGGGTGAGCCACAACAGAAGGCATGCGGCCACTTGTGGTCCCCCCCCGGGGACCTAGTAGGGAGCCTGGAGGAAGTGGGGAGCCATGAGGCTGTGTTCAGGTGACCTGTGACCAGGTACAGTGTGACAGTGTTGGCCAAGGCCCTGCAGGATTCGGGGGGATGGATTGGGGAAGGGTGTAGCTGCTAGGTCCCTTGGAGCTCCAAAGCCACAAGAGGAGCAGCAAAGCGGGTGGGCTGGGGGGTCCTGTCACCCTGATAGCCTCTCCATGGGGCTCCCCTTACCCGCTGTGGGGGCGTGTGGATCAGGGCACGGTAGAAGCAGGTAGTCTGGGGATATAGGGCCAGCACAAGCTGCTCCTTCTGGAACAAGGCCTCGGGGTCCGTCTCAGGGTTGGCCTTCCACTGGGGCAGCGGGATGATTCGCCGCCTGCTCAGGGTGTGTCTCCTGGAATGAGGGCCCCGGGTGGGGTGGGGAAGGTGTTGGCTTCAGGCCTGGAGGGGCCACTCCTTCCCAGAGGCTTGGCTGCCCCACCCCTCACCCGGCCTGCATTGCCCTCCCTGGCCGACACTCACTCCTTGCCTTCTTCATCAATGTCGTCTACCTCGTACCTGCAGGAGAATGGAGGACAACTGCTGGAAGCAGCCAGTGCTGCCCATGCCACCGGCTGGGGGAAGTGTTTTCTTGCACTGTGCAGACACAAGAACGAGCCCCTGGCTGGTGCTCACTCACTTGTTAGTGGCATGGCTGTAACTGACGACCTCAGCCAGGATCCACTGCTCATCGCCATCCACGGCTTTGACCCGCGCAGCCACCTTATCTCCAGGCTTGGCCACATAGTCCCCAGAGGCCGGAATGGCTCCACACAGGGGCGGGGGCCTGCGTGTGTGCAGAATGCAACAGTCAGTCAGTGCCACCCTTGCACCACCTGGCCCTCAGAGCCAGCGCCCGCCCTCACTTGTCACCAGGCTTCCCGATCCACAGGGGCAGCGTCATGGCCGACTGCTGGAGCAGGGTCATCAGCACGCCTCTGCGCATGGTCTTCCTGGGGGGCTCCGAGTCACTGTACAGGCCCGCAATCTTGGCCGCTGCGGGAAGGAAGGGAGCCCAGCTGGAGGAGCAGCACCTGAGCAGGAACCCAGCCCCTCCTGCCAGCCGCCCACAGCTCAAAACCATCGCAGCATCGGGACATGCCTCCGAATAGGGGTGGGGCATCGGGAAGGTTATGGAAGGGGCAGCAGGTGCGGGCAATGACCTGTGTCCTTATGGGGTGCTGATTACACAAGTGTTCAGTTGTGTGAATTCTTCACTGTGCTGCGCTCATAATAGATGTTGTAATTCAGGTAGTAGGTTATAAAACTGTGGCCTCCCACTAATCACAAGCATGACCCAGCCACATGCCAGGAAACGAAGAGGAAAAAGAGGAGGAGGAGGAGGGAGGAACCAGAAGGGTGCTGAGGCTTGGAGCCCATGGGACCAACTCCACACAGGTGTGGCTCTGCCCAGCCTGCCAGGTTCTCTCCGTGCGAGGCACGGGAGCGGGCAGTGAGCAGGGCAGGGAGATAGTGGGCTGCAGACCTAAGGAAGGGAAGAAATGCCAGGAGCAGGAAGATGACCTTGACCCATGGAGGAGGACCCAGCATGTCCTTCTCAAGCCCTGACGGTGGTTGCTGTTCCCTGCCCAGCCCTGTCTCTGTTGGACGCTCCTGACAGGGACTTGGCCAGGTTGCAGGCACAGGCACCCCCAGGACCCGTGTCTGCTGCTCTTGGAGTCTCCCTGCCGGTCAAATAGCCCAGAGCAGCCCGTGGCCTCTCCCACTCACCAATCCGCCTCTCTTCCAACAGAGACTTGATCTCGGCGATCTTATCTAGGGCTTTCCGGAGGATGCTGGGGACAGGGGAGGAAGGGAAGAGGTCTGGCTGAGGTGCAGTCTGGTGACTGCAGGCAGGGTGCCTCATGCCAGCGCATCCGTTGAGAACCACATGCCCTCACTGCCCTCTCGCTCCACACCACAAAGCCTCTACCAGTCAGGAGCATAAGTGGCCAGGGGCTTGCAGAGGCAGCTGAAGGCTCCTTCCACACAGCGATGCCGTAATAACCTGGTGCAGCGCAATGCATTTGTGTGCAGGAGAGAGGGGATGGAGATGCTGGTGCAAATGCCTTCTGTGCTGCAAGCACAGGGGCAGGAGCTGTGGCCAAGTGGGGTAAGGCACTGCTAGGGCACCCAGACCCCATATTGAAATGTGTCTTGGCTACTCAGCTTCCCATCCAGCTCCCTGCTAATACACCTGGCTGGCAGCAGATCCAAGTACTTGGTCTTCTGCCACCCACGTAGCAGACCTAGATGGAGCTCCTGGCTCCTGGTTTGAGTCTGGCTCATCCAGCAGGTGGAAGATCTTCCACTTTGCCTTTCAAGTAAATAAAAAAAAATTTTTTTTTAAGTTAGGACCTAAACATAACAGAAAACTATTAACAGCATATCTTACTCAACTTTTGTCATCCACTATTATATCTTATAGTAAAAACTGAACCATGGTTATATATTTTTGAATAAGTACTGACTAAAGAATTTGAGATCAAGTGACATTATGTCTGGAACTTAAATGATTCAGAACATTGCATGTGCATAGAACAAAGGATAAGCAAACGTGAGGGCAGCTATTGGGCATGGCAGTTAAGCCACCATTTGGGATACCTGTACCCTGGGGTGCCTGGAGTCCCATTCCACTGGCACCTTCCTGCTAACACACAGCCTGTGAGGCAGCAGTGACACCTCAAGAGTTGGGTCCCTGCCATTCACGTGGGAGACCTGGATTAAGTTACCAGCCCTGGAATTTGGCCTGGACCAACCCTGGCTGCTGCGGACAATTTTTTTTTTTGTTTGTTTCAAAGATTTCTTTATTTTTTTTACTTGAAAGGTAGATTTATAGAGGAGAGACAAAGACTTTCCATCTGCTGGTTCACCCCCCAAATGGTACAATGGCCAGAGCTGAGCTGATCTGAAGCCAGGAACCAGGAGGCTCCTCCAGGTCTCCCACACAGATGCAGGGTCCCAAGCTCTTGGGCTCTTCTCTGCTTCTTTCCCAAGTTGCAAGCAAGGACCTGAATGGGAAGTGGAACAGCTCAGACAGGAACTGGCACCCATATGGAATGCTGGCACTTGAAGGTAGAAGATTAGCCTGTTGAGCCACAGTATTACCCCTGTTGTAAACACTTTTGGCAAGTGAATAAGTGGATGGGAAATTGGTCTTTTTTTTCCCCTTCTCTCTGCCTTTCAAAAAAAAAATCAGTTATAAAATTTTGTGAAAATTACTTTTATCTAAATCTGAAATCATTTCTATCCACAGTTAAATCAGTAACACCTAAGCTCACTCCAGCACAACCAGCCTGGACAGCCAGTGTGCCACAGGGAAGCAGTTTCTGTGAGTCCCTGCAGGACTTCTCAGGGCCTTCGTCTGCTCAGGGAATCTCTAGGAGGGCCAAGGTCTGCTGCCCCCAACTGCTGCAGTCCCACCGCACGGCCTGCAGACTCGCTGTTCTCAAGCTTGCTGACCATTTCAACAGCAGCCGTTTTAGGGAAGTGACCCGCTCTCTCGGCCATAAAGGTATCCGGTCACCTAGAAGGATGCCCAGCCATGCTTGGGTCCCCACTTCCGGCCCTCAACGGGAAGTACCCCCAAGAGGCCCGCTGCTGTGCCGGTACAAAGAAGGACAAAGGTCCAGTTGATGCACTTCAGTGTGCAGCATAGCCCAAGCCCTAGCTGTCGCTGGGAGGGGCGACATTTGGTATGGGCTGTCGCTGGGGAGGGACGACATCTGGTGTGGGCTCTTTATTCCAGCACCACACCAACTCACAGCACTAGTATTTGATTAGGGTGACCTTTAAAGAAGTACAAAGGTTTAAAGAAAAATCCCTCTGGGCTCTCACTAGCGCTGGGAGGGCAAGAGCTGCTCCCCCCATCCCCACCCACCCCACGAGCCTCTCCTGTGCCCATGTGGACGAGGAGGAACAGGCAGCAGCACTGCTGGTTTCCTGATGGTGCCCGGCCGGGGCTGCAGGCAGGGAGGTGGCCACGGGGCAAGGACAGAGCGAGGGCATGGCAGCCATCCACACTGCAGATCCTGGCACCTGACCCTGGCCCCTGGCTACTTTTTTGGCCTCGAGTACCTGGCCAGCTGAATGGCACCCCGCTCTGCAGTGGCCGAGTTGTTTGGGGGAACCTCTGAGATGTGGAGGGGCTTTGAGAGATGGTCTCCACTGTCTACAGTTACAGTGGCCCTGAAGACGCCGTCCCTGGTCCTGGTCCTGGTGCCCTGACAGGGCTGCAGCTGACAAATGCCTGTGAAGCTACCATCAGGGCGTGGCTTGTTCCCACTGGGAAACATGGACCTGTCCTCCACGTGCACACGGAAAGTGAAGGTTGTGATCTGGGCTCCCTCGGACCCCTGCTGCTGGGCATCCAAGTATGTAAAAATTCAGCTGCCATTTTCCAGGTTTATTAGCAGGGTGTGGGGGATAGAAGCAGAGGGCCCAGGACTCCTGACAAGAGCCCTGGTATGGGATGTGGGCATTCCAAGTGCCAGCCTACCTGCCACTCCCCAAGGCTTTTCTGTTCTGTGTTCCTTAGGAAACCTATTAAAATGAGGACACAAGGTACCCGCCACATTCTGTAAGGGAGGCCACCGTGGCACCCACAGGTAAAGGGCCCAACATTTCAGCTCCCAAGGCGGGGCTCTGGGCACCTCTTCCTTTTTCTGTGGGTCTTGAAGCCAGAGTGCTAGGGAAAGGACACAGCAGGGGCGGTGGCCCACCCTCCCTCTCCCAGTGGGGTACTGAAAAACCTCAGGGTTCACTTGGAGGCTGCAGGCGTTTTGCAAACCTGGAGAAGTAAAACATATGACACCAGGCAGTGGGACAACAGATGAGGAGGGGCCCCGCCCTTACGAACCAAGCCAGTCAATGTGAAGTGTAAGTCAATGCCAGAGGCGACCACACCAGCTGCTTCCCCATCTCACTCTGCCTGCTGGCAGGCTGGCAAGGGATGGGCTGTTTTCCACTCCCAAACTAAGTATGAGTTATCACAACTCCTACAAGCCACTGCCAGGCCAGGTGAGGAGCGGGGAAGGGCCTGGCTCTGGCCAGATCAAGACAAATGCATGGGGGCCATGCTGGGCACCCCAAGGAGGAGGCTGGCTCCAGACAGAATGCCTTCTCTCCTTGCTGCACCCACCTGCTAGAGGGAATCGCCCCGGCCCCTGCGTCCACGACCAACACTCTGGCCATTTTCCCCATCTCTGCCACTGGCCCAACTGACCAATGGGTCTGGACCCCCCACCACTCCTTCATGATACCCTCATTATGTCTTCCTTCCCACTTCAGGTCCTCACTGGTTCCTCCAGGATGAAGCACAGGGTATGGGAGGTTCTTGGTGTCCTGTCCCCCGCTGCCCTCTGGCAGCGCTCTGTGCACACAGGCACCTGCTGGTGCCCGGCTCAGCATCTCCTCCGTCCAGTAGCTGTGCTGGCTGGCTGGCTGGCTGGCTGGCTGGCTGGCAGGGCATCTCTCCTTTCTGACTGCCCACGCAGGCTCGATCTTCCCCATCTTCATACAGCCAGCACCAGCCTCAGGGACCATACTAGCGATAGGAGGCCAGCAGGCCGGCAGCCGCCAGGTGAGGAAAACATACAGCCAGTGACACAGGACAGAGCCCAGGCAAGTGCCTGAAACTCTGGGAAATGCCAAGAGTATCAATTCTTGCTGCCACCCTCACTGGGCCCTCGAGGCGTGGGCACAGTGACATGAAATCAACTGCTTGAGTAACAACCAACATCGTGACAAAACCCCACACAACAGAACTGACAGGGTAAAAATCATAATTCATTAACACATTATAAATGGCCTAATTCCAACAAAAACCTAAAAATGTGTGCTATGGAAAGAGCCTGTGAAGCTGCCTCCTTCGGGTTTAAAACTGAGCTTCCACAGTTACCAGCACCATGTGACAGCAGGATAAGCCTGCACCTGTGTTGTCGGCATCCCACATGGGTACTGGTTCAAGTCCCAGTTGCTCTATTTGTGATCCAGCTCCCTACTCATGGCCTGGGAAAGCAGTGAATGATGGCTCAAGTCTGCGGATCCCTGTAGCCAGGTGGGAGACCTGGAAGAGGCTCCTGGCTCCTGGCCTCGGTCCAGCTCAGCTCCGGCCATTGCGGCCATTTGGGGTGTCAACCAGAGGATGAAAGATCTCCGTCTCTGTCTCTCCTTCTCTCCCTGTAAACCTGCCTTCCTAATAAAAGTAAGTAGATCTTAAATAACAACAAACAAACAACAACCAAAAAAACCTTGCACTTTTCCACTTACTAGCTGCGTGGCTCCAGGCCAATGATGGAACCCCTCTGGGCCTCTGTCTCTCCGCCTCTGAACAGGGGCAATGACACAACCTTCGCAGGCTGCAGCGAGGATGGGAGGCGGCACACACAGAAAGCAGGACGGCAAAGCCCCCTGCCCCAGCCCAGCAAGGGCACGTGGAGTGAGCACTGCTGACCACATGCTGCCCCCTCTCACATGGGGCAGGGCAGGAATGAGGAAGGTGGACCACCAGGCCTGGCACCTGCTTCATCCTGTCAGGGCTTAGGACCCTGGAGCTGGTCACTGTGCCTCTGCAACCACGGGGTAGCTAACCCTGGAACCAGCTGCTGTGTCAGCAGCAACTCTGGATGCTCACACATGATGCAGCTGCAGGATGGGGGGCAGACAGCAGGCTGGGGAGCACCCCAGGGAGGGCGCCCAGCAGGTCATCGGGCAGCACTCACTTGCATTCGGCCTCTGCGTCGGCCTTGGCAGTTGTGTAGAGGCCCCGTAGCTTGGTCCGGTAATAGGGAGAAACTGTAAGCACAGGCAGGAGGGGGAGGCACAGGTGAGGGTTGGGTGCTGCCACTGGGCTGGCACAAGCAGACCTGGGGTGCTCAGAGAGGCTGAGCCCCAAAACTGAGCACCACCAGCCCAGAAGTGCCCGTGTTCATGTCCATACTTTTACGGAGTCAGAGGCCACCATCTTATCTAGGGGAGAACTGTGACACTCTCTCATACTGGGAAACATGTATGTGTTAAATCCAGGCAACTTGCTAAGCTGCTCTGGGTCAGGGGTGCCCCTGTGGGGACACCCCTGGACATGGGTGCCTGTGTTCTTGGGACCAGCTTCCTAGGCTACAGCCATACTTCCCTGAGCACCCACCCCCAAGTGGAGGGGGCTGCAATTCTCTGGGGAACATGCATAAGTCCCTTCTCAATCAGGGCAGCCACGCTTGGGTCTCCACTGTCCCACACCCCCAAGCCCCCACGCCTGGGACTCACTCTTGTTCTCCGTTTGCATCCGCTCGTGTGTCTTCTGGATGTTCACCAAGTTGTGCTCGCTCCTTGAGCGCTCTTCCTGTGCAGACAGGGTGACAGGGCATGGGCCGGCTGCCACCCGCTGGGCACCTGCACCCCAGCTCCTGCCTTCTAAATCCAAACCCACGATACGATCCTCCTTTGCCCCCAACAAACACAAAAGCAATTACAGTGATGTCCTGGCTTCCAGCTCTACTGACGCTCCTGGATCAAAAAGAGACCAGTCTGACACACTCCCCGTCCACAGGCATCTTTCCCAAAACTCACAAACATCCCAAGATGATTTCCAAGGGGCCCAGTTAACCCCCTCCCACCCTGCTTTAAAAAAACAAAACAGTTATTTGAAAGTAGAATTATAGGGAGAGGGATCTTCCAACCACTGTTCACTTCCCAAATTGCTAGGCCAAATCCACGAAGAGCCAGGCCACGCTGAAGGAAGGAAGCACATCTGGGTCTCCTGCATGGGTGGCAGGGGCCCACGCATCCGGGCCGCCCTCCTCTGCCTTCCCTGGTGCATCAACAGGGAATTGCATGGAAAGTGGAGCAGCGGGGACTTGAAACAGTGCCCATATGAGATGCTGGCATTGCGGGCAGTGGCTTAACCTGAGATACCATGAAACTGGCCCCAATGTTTCTATTTCTTAAAAACATCATCATCATCATTATTTTATTTTAGGCAGAGAGAGAGGAACAGAGACCTTCCTTCTGTCGATCTGCAGGCAGGGTTGCACTAAGCTGAAGTTAGGAACCAGGACCATGTGGGTGACAGAGACCCCAGCACTTGCACCATCACTGCTGCCTCCCAGGGTGCCCACTCACTGGGAACTGGCACTGGAAGCTGAGACAAGACTCGGCCCAAGGTGCTCTGATTTGGAAGACAGCCGTCCCAAGTGACGTGCAAACCATTATGCCAAACTCCCACCCCTTAATTGATCTCAAAAAAGAAAAACAAACTTAAAGAACGCACACTTCCTAGTTCCACAGCTCACCATACAACTCCCAGAAAGAGGCTGTGGTAGCACCGGAACAGGGTGGGGGGTGGGGGCGGTCCAGGTGGACCAATTCATCTGGGGAAAAGTTCTCATCCCCCACCTGTGTCCTGGGCTGAGGGCTGCTCCTGCAGCTGTGGGAAGCAGCGTTACGGTGTGGGAAGAACGTGCAGCTGCATGGCACAGCTTTTATGAGAGAACTGCTGAGTGCCCCACCCCATCTGGCCAAGTGGGGTGCAGAGTGCACACGCAGCTGTGTGATCTAGAGGCTCAGAGAGCCCACGAGCCTCCTCTTTGCAGCCCTACTCTACAGCAATGGGACCAGGGGGAGAAGGCCCCTAGCAATCCTGGCCACACAGTAACTGAACCTAACATCCCTTCTGAAGGCAGAAACGTCTGGCTAAAAAACAGAGATGGTTGAGAAGAGAGACAACGGGCCCAGAGTGGGTGGGTGCTACTGCCCAGTGAGCTAAGCTGCCACTTGGAACATCTGTACCCTTTATCTGGGTACCTGGGTATCAGGCCCGCTTCTGCCTCCCATCTAGCTTTCTGCCTGCTGGTGCACACCCAGGGAGGCAGCAGGGGTGGCTCAAGGGCTTGGCTCCCTAGTGCCCACACTGGAGACTCGAATGGAGGTCCCAGTTCCTGGCTTCAGCCTTGCCCTGCCTCGGCTATTGCAAGGCATCAGGGGAGTGAATCAGAGGATAGAGGGTCAGTCTGTTCCTCTGCCTTTTAAATAAATAAAGATAAATGAACATTTTAAAAATCCCTTAAAATAAAATACTCCTGAGGTAAAAGGATGAACAGGTGGCTTCCGCAGAGGGGACAGCCAGCACTGTCCCAACACTGTGACCAGGGCTCCCTGCTGGGCTGTGACACTGTGACAGGGTCCCTCATCCCGCTGGGCTCAGCTGCCCCGATGCCTGGCAGAGTAAAAGCCTTACATCTGCCGATACCTGCTCCCACACAGGCACATTGGCTGCGTGGGGTGATGACAAACTAGAGCAGCTGTTGGTGCCTACATGGAACCTGGTCACAGGCCAAGAACACTTTCCTTCTCTGTTGTAAAATGGATTTTGCTAACAAGTGATTTTTTAGGGCTGTTTTAGGTTTACAGAGATGGAGCAGAGTTCAAAGTCTTAATGCACCTGCTCCCCCCTTGAACCCTGGCTCCCCACTGCTGACACGCTGTGCTGGCGTGGGGCACTCGGTGCCACGGGTGATGACTCACTCAGGCCCATGGTGCACATTGGGGTTGACACCGTGCTGGATGGCTCTGCACGACACACACAGTCACATGCCCCCACTGCCTCAGTGCTGTGTCCTGAAGTTCTGCCTCCCTGAACTTCTCAGTGCTCACCTGCATCTCCCATCCCTGCACCCCAAGACCCTGGAAATCCTGGGTCTCTTCACTCTCTTGTCTTGCCATTTCCAGAATGGCCATGCGCAGAGCCTTTCAGGAATGTATACACTCAGTTGGGGTGTGTCCCTGCTGCTGCCTTCTGTCTTCACACTACATCTGCTCCAAAAGCCATCACTAGAGAGGGAATCTCTGGGGAATCCTGCCCTTCAGGCCACAGGACTGGGCAGAGGACAGCTGCCTGCCTGCAGGCCGGTCACTGCAGAACACAGTGGGGTGCCTGCCTGAGGCGGCATGCTACAGGCCCCTTGTATTTGTGAGTGAAAAGGTAATAAAAATAGGGAAGAGATGGATTTGGGGAGGCTTCAAGCAGTGGGCAGCACATGGCAGGTGCAGATTCCCTGGGGAACCAGCCAGCTCTGAGACAATGATAGGCTGGGAGAGCCCCCCCGGCCCCCCCCCCAGTCCCACACTCAGGTTTAATCGCTCCTTTTCTAACCCGAATCTGGGGTACCGCACAGGTTGGGTTCCCAGCAGCAAGGCTGGGTATATGATATCCAGCATATGCACACAGGAGTGAACAATATGGGCACCCCGGCAGCAAGGCTGACGCCCTTGTGGTGCTGGTCCACATGGTAAAGGACACAGGGTGGGGTTGGTGGTGGGACGGCAGCCATGTGACAGGAAGCAGTGGAGACACGGAAGTCCCCTTCCAGCACAACGGGAGGGAGCAGGAGCCAGATGAAAGATTCAACAAATAATTCCTGGAACTTCCAAGTCCTGCGGGAGTCGGGGGCTGGCCCAGGGAAGGAGCTACACTCACTTGTCTGTCGGCATATGGACAACAGCTCAGGCTCTGCCATCTGCAAATCTTTCCCCCACCCCCTGACCACCGGGATGGTACCTATGGGATTCCCTCACACTTTAAAGCCAGGGAGGCACTTGCGGCCCAAGTCACACCATGGCTGCCACTGACCAAAGGAGTTGTAGCTTGAGGTGCTGGGAATGAGCTCAAGCCAGCCAAGGGTCTGCCCGCGGGAGGGTGATGGGCCCTGCTCTAGGACAGCACACGGAGGCCAGCGGCTTTGGACTAGCCAGGGAACTGACACAGGCCGACTAGTCGTGGCCCTGGCCAGGCTGGAATCCCGAAGTAACTGAAGCACGGCCAATGGCAACAGCATCACGGCCAGCTGGCCGGCCAGAGGAACAACAAGCCCCGCTGTAATGCATCTCCAGCTGCTGCCTGACAGCCCTGGCCTCCACAGTGGCCACACTGCTACACGACACCACCTTCTGTACAGGAGGAGTCAGGATGATGCTAACAGCCATGATCCTCACATCCTGATCCCAAGGGAAATGAGGAAGAACTGGACTTAGCACCAGCTCATTTCCACGCAAGTTTACCTGAAGGCACAAATAATGGTAGCTCAGGGAAGGAAACACACAAACACATGGGAACAGAAAGCTCAGACATGCTGCTGTGACCTCAGAGGGCCTGCCGTGACCTCAGAGAGCCTGCCGTGACCTCAGAGGGCCTGCCGTGACCTCAGAGGGCCTGCCATGATCTCAGAGAGCCTGCTGTGACCTCAGAGGGCCTGCCGTGACCTCAGAGGGCCTGCCGTGACCTCAGAGGGCCTGCTGTGACCTCAGACAGCCTTCTGAGACCTCAGAGGGCCGGTCCCCTGTTTTGGTCTATCCCTGCCTTCTCCTCTCCCCCCGCAAGGCTCCCTGCAAATGTTAGGGAAAGTTCTCATTGCTACCATACAGATGTTACATAAATACTATTATCTTCAGTGCACACAGTTAGATAAACACGACCTTTGTGTTGTAAGAGTTTTCTGCTAGCTCAGAGGCTAGAGGGTAGCAGCAAAGGATTAACTCAGCAGGCCAGGCTCATTCAAACTCTACATACCGTGAAAACAAGCTTTGACCCGTGACCAGCTCACAGGAGATAACTTCTGAGGGAGATAGCCCTCAGAGCGGCTTTTCTAGGAGCAGTACCTTGAGTACCTTTGTTTATTTGTAAGGTCACTGCTAATGGACACGGGACATTTTTGCTGGGTGATAAAAACATCCTGGGGGCCAATGCTGTGGTGCAGAGGGTACAGCTGCCACCTGCAGTGCCAGCATCCCATATGGGTGCTCGTGCAAGCTCTGGCTGCTCCACTTCTGTTCCGGCTCCCTGCTAAAGCACCCAGGAAAGTAGTGGAGGGTGGCCTGGCACCCATGTAGGGGATCTGGAAGAAGCTCCTGGGTCCTGATTTTGGATTGGCTCAGCTCCAGCTGTTGCAGACATTTGGGGAGTGGAAGATCTTTGTATCTGTTAACTCTTTCTCTCTGTAAATGTGTCTTTCCAATAAAATATATCTTTTTTTTTTTAAATGATATCAGCAAGTTTTTTTTTTTAAGATTTTATTTTATTTTTATTGGAAAGGCGGATATACAGAGAGGAGAGACAGAGAGGAAGATCTTCCATCCGCTGATTCACTCCCCAAGTGAGCGCAACGGTTGATGCTATGCTGATCCGAAGCCAGGAGCCTCTTCTGGGTCTCCCACGCGGGTGCAGGGTCCCAAAGCTTTGGGCCGTCCTCGACTGCTTTCCCAGGCCATAAGCAGGGAGCTGGAAGGGAAGCGGGGCTGCCGGGATTAGAACCGGCGCCCATATGGGATCCCGGGCGTGCAAGGCGAGGACTTTAACCACTTGCGCCACCGCGCCGGGCCCCCAATAAAATATATCTTAAAAAAAAAAAGAAGGGCACTTGCGCCACCGCGCCGGGCCCCCAATAAAATATATCTTAAAAAAAAAAAGAAGGGCACTTGCGCCACCGCGCCGGGCCCCCAATAAAATATATCTTAAAAAAAAAAAGAAGGGCCCGGCGTGGTGGCGCAAGTGGTTAAAGTCCTCGCCTTGCACGCCCGGGATCCCATATGGGCGCCGGTTCTAATCCCGGCAGCCCCTCTTCCGTTCCAACTCCCTGCTTATGGCCTGGGAAAGCAGTCGAGGACGGCCCAAAGCTTTGGGACCCTGCACCCGCGTGGGAGACCCAGAAGAGGCTCCTGGCTTCGGATCAGCATAGCATCAACCGTTGCGCTCACTTGGGGAGTGAATCAGCGGATGGAAGATCTTCCTCTCTGTCTCTCCTCTCTGTATATCCGCCTTTCCAATAAAAACATAATAAAAATAAATCTTAAAAAAAAAAAGAAACAGATAGAGAGAGAGTTCTGAAATTGATGGTGGTGATGGCTGCACAGTTCTCAATATCCTAAACATTGAATCATGTGCTGTACATGGGTGCATCTGATGGTCTGTGATCTGCCTCTCAATACAGCTGTCAAACAGGAATAAAACCCCCCACACTGAGAAAACCCAGCAAGAATGGCACCATGCCTGCCTCGTCCAGCATGCAAGCCTGTGACCCCCACCATCCCACCCACCCAGCGCCCCAGCCGTGGAGGGCAGGGCGTGCTCCCACCTGCGTCTGCTTAATGAGCTGATGGAGCTCGGTGAGCAGCTCTGCGATGCGGGAGTCGGCAGACACGAGGGCCATGGCACAGCAGAGCGTCTGTAGGGCAGAGCAGAAAAGACCTAGTTAGTGGCTGCTGGGGCTGGAGCCCTGGTACCGGTGCATGTGAGAAGCCTTGGGCACAGGGTCTCTGTAGATGGCATTATGATGCTGCCACACTTGCAGCGGGGTGGGCTCTTAGTCCAGTTGGCCTGGTGTCCTTCCAAGAAAAGGGAAAGAGTCACAGAGACAGATACACATCTCTCCTCTTTGTAAATCTGCCTTTCAAATAAAAATAAATTTTTAAAAAATTGTCTTTTTGGTCTGGCATGATGGCCTAGCAGCTAAAGTCCTTGCCTTGAATGTGCCAGGATCCCATATGGGCACCGGTTCTAATCCCGGCAGCTCCACTTTCCATCCAGCTCCCTGCTTGTGGCCTGGGAAAGCAGTCAAGTATGGCCCAAAGCCTTGGGATCCTGCACCCACGTGGGAGAGCTTGAAGAGATTCCTGGCTCCTGGCTTCAGATCGGCGCAGCTCCAGCTACTGCGGTCACTTGGGGAGTGAATCATAAGGCAGAAGATCTTCCTCTCTCTCTCTCTGAATATCTGCCTTTCTAATAAAAATAAATAAATCTTTAAAAAAGAGAGGGAGAACATTACTTATATAAAAAAAAGTCTTTCAACTAAGAAATGCTGCAACAATTCTGAGGCTGGTCTATTCCACACCTTCTCTTGCCAGACTGAGGTAACCGTCACATAAGAGGGACTGCCTACATTCCACCTACATAGTTCCCCTTTGCTCAGGAATATTTTTACCAAGTAAAAATTTACCCAGGAATATTTACCAGTCATGTTTACCAAATAGGTACCCTGTACCTTGTTCCCAGGGAACATTCCAGAAAGGTGCACCACATGAGGCAAACAGTTCCAAGTAGTTATGTGTAGGTAGTGTAAGCATTACAAGAGACGAGAGAGCAGAATACAGAATAACGCCAGACAGTACAAATCCCAACGAGAAGGAACTCCCCAGGCGTGGATGGGAATGACCCTCACAGATAAACACACCCGCTAAGAGCGGCATGAAGAAGGAGAGGAGGCAGGAAGCAGAAGACACCACAAAACTCGAGGCTTCGGCCCCACAGGTGGAGAAGTGGGAAAGAGTGGGGAAGGTACCAAGGCCGAAACGCAGAATTAGTTCTGGACACGCTGTGAGGCCGATTAGACATTCCAAAGGCGGCAACCACACTCCAGCCAGAGCTGAAGGTAAGCATCTGGCGTTCCAGAGACAATAAAGAGATGAAGACAGAAATCTGAGGGCCGGCAGGCCAAGAGATGGCGTTTCAAGTGTCAAACGGGAGAGGCCAGGGACGTAGAAGAGCCTCGGTCCGACCGAGCAGGTGTCTGGAGGATGATTGAGAGTGTGGCCCTCCTGACGCTGGTACTCTTTTTTGAGCAAATAATGCAAGATGCTAGAGTTCGGGCTCATCCTCACTCCAAGCCGAGGACCCCAGGGGGGCGGTCTCCCCGCGCACCTGCGCCCCGGACACTACTGCGCACGCGCAGAGCCCAGGCCGACCGCCCCCCGCCCCGCCCCCTCCCACCTAGCGCGCGTGCGCGGCGCCCCTCGCGGGCCGGGTCGGGGCCGCTCGGGTTCCGGTTCTCACGCGGGTCCGGCGGCCGCAGGCCTTGACTCGTGCCCGCCTACCGAGTCTCGGGCGAAAAGATCACGGCGCGCTGGGAGTAGCGACGGCGGAGCCAGGCGCGAGCCCGTGAGCGCTGTCCCCGGGTCTATGGATGCTAACGCACCGGCGTTCGAAGGTTCGCGGCACGTCGGGAACCGCACACGCTTTTTTTTCCTTTTTATGAGCCGAGCGGAGCGCGGCGGACCTCGCTACGCATGCGCGCTCCTCCCTCCGTGACGTGCCGCGCTACCCCCTGGGAAATGAAGTTTTGTACTTAGACCTGTGCGCAACTGAGACATAATTTTTTTTATTTCAAATAAGGTATAATTTTACAAGGATTTAAAAAAACTGATTGACTTACTTAGTGTCTTCTCCCCTTTCCCCAAAGACTGCATTAAAGCAGAAAAAGGGGGGAAAACCCTTAAAAGCGGCTTCTGCTGGGGGACAGCACCAAGGGATAGAATGTTGGGAACTATTCAGTTCAATTTTGCTATGAACCTAAAACTGTCCTAAAAAATAAAGGCTACTTGCCTGCAGAACTAAGAACCATATACAAAGATCAAATCTAAATGGGTAAAAGGATCTAAACCTACACCCAGAAACCATTCAACTTCTAGAAGAAAACATAGGAAGTACTCTACAAAATACAGGCACAGGCAAAGACTTCCTAGGAAAATCACCAAAAGCAAAGAAAATCAAGACCCAACTAAACAGATAGGACTACATCAAACTAAGAAGCTTCTGCACAGTAAAGGAAAAAAAATCCAAAAAAAGCAACCAACAGAGTGGGAGAAAGTCTTTGCACACTACGTAGGGGACAAGGAGCTGGTATCCAGAATAAACAAAGAACTCCAGCAAAACCATAACAACAAAAGAAACAAACCAGTTAAGAAATGCGCAATGGAAACAGACACCTCTTAAAGGAACAAGTCCACGTGGCAGACAGGCATATGAAACAGTGCTCAAACTCCCTAGCAATAAGGAAAATTCAAGTAGAAACAACACTGAGGTTCCAGCTCACCCCAGTAAGGATGGCCCACATAGGGAAAACTACCAACAACACCTGCTGGTTAGGATGCGGTGGCGGGGGAAAGGGCACAATACTCCACTGCTGGTGGGAGTGCAGGCTGGTGCAGTCATTACTGACGTTAGTACACGGAATACCTAGCAACTGAAAATCCACCTCCATTATGACCTAGCAATACCACTTCCAGGAATATATCCAAAGGATTGGATACATGAGAAAGCAGTATGAACCCCTGTATTCATTGCAGCACGATCAACAACTGCAAAAAATTGGAAACAACCTAGATGCTCATCAACAGAGGACTAGAAAAAGAGGCCATGGATTGGGCCCGGTGGCGTGGCCTAGCGGCTAAAGTCCTCACCTTGAAAGCCTAGGATCCCATATGGGCGCCAGTTTTAGTCCCAGCAGCTCTACTTCCCATCCAGCTCCCTGCTTGTGGCCTGGGAAAGCAGTCAAGGATTGCCCAAAGCTTTGGGACCTTGCACTGGTGTGGGAGACCTGGAAGAAGTTCCTGGATCCTGGCTTCGATTGGCATAGCATTGGCCGTTGTGCTCACTTGGGGAGTGAATCAGCGGATGGAAGATCTTCCTCTCTGTCTTTCCTCCTCTCTGTATATCTGACTTTCCAATAAATAAATAAATCTTAAAAAAAAAAAAAAAGAAACCATGGTTCATGTATCCTATGGAGAGCAACTCAGCTATTAAAAAGAATGAAATACAACCGTTTGCAGCCAAATGGGCTGAATTGGAGACCATTATGCTAAAGGAAATGAGCCAATCCCAAAAGGTCAGATAGCACGTTTGCTCTAAGATGATTTCAATCAAAATCTCAGTGCTAATATGGCTAGGGGCTATTTTGCTCATCTTTTAGGCTGGCTCTTTCTAGTTTCAATTTGCAGTTTTGTAGTGTCATATTAATTATTTTTGTAGCAAATCTTATCTTTTCACATTTCCTAGTCATCTGTATCTTTCCCAATAAGTTCTTGGGATTCATTAATTGATCATCCATACGAGATAGATTGCTTGTAAACACTTCAGATTGCAAATGTCCATTTCAACACTGTTTTGCTACCTATCATGAGCAATGAAGTTCTAGTTTTTAACTGTAGTTCCTTCAGTGCCACAAGGATCATGCACTGGCATCTGTTCCTGCAAGAAGGTTTTGGATCTGTTTCCACCACTCTTGTGATGCATTTTTATTTTTGTAGCATGTTTGTTAATTTCATGTTAATGAAAACTTACTATTTTCACCCCCGATATGGACTGCGCTCACTGGTTGTGTAAGTTAGGGGATATGTAATGGGAGTATAGCGGGGACAAATATGTCCAGATATGGAGACAAAGTGCTGTAGGTCTGTATGCATACAGAGCAGAGATGGACTCCCAGCGAAAGAACTGAATACCTCCTAAGAGTAAGATGATGGCGTCCCTGACAGTGTCCATGCCTGCATCGTTGGGAAACACTTCCAACAACAGCATAATGGACTTGTGACTGTTCATGAAGGAAATCATGAAGAAATTCATGGGGTCAGGGAGGGAGGGACCTTGGGGAAGGGCACGGGCAACCCCAGAACCTAGGGAACTAGGTCATAAAATAAAATATATTAAAATACAAAAAATATTGTACTATCTATGTGTTAAAATGAAGGCTACTTTTTTAAAGAGCAAAGATGAATTATAAACCAGCTATCTGGCTTCCTGCTTATGCTCCTGTTAAAGCAGTAGAGGATGGCCCAAGGACTTGGGAGACCCTGCTGGTTTTGGTTGGGCCCCCGCTGTGGCCACTGCCGTGATTGCCAGAGTGAACCAGCAGATGGAAGATGTCTCTCTTTGTAGCTCTACCTTTCAAATCTAAATAAAGAAATTCCGCTCCATCTCCTGACGCCAGGACAAGCTAAGGAAGCTCGGCCCTTGGAGTCCTACAAACTAAGAGGGATCCCCATCGGCCGCTCAGCCTTCTCCGTGCCCCCAACCCCTCATCCATCAGCTTCTGCGTGTCAGCCATGTAAACACACGTGTTCTCACATCAGCCACTTGGACACTGCTTTACCTGCATTCATTCTTATCCCCAAATACAGCTCCTTCTCACCTTTATGTTTCCTTTTTTCTAAGATTTATTTATTTTTACTGCTAAATCAGATATACAGAGAGGAGAGACAGAGAGGAGGATCCTCCATCCGATGACTCATTCCCCAAGTGACCGTAACAGCCGGTGCTGTGCCAATCTGAAGCCAGGATCTTCATCCAGGAACTTCCTCCAGGAGCCAGGAACTTCCTCCAGGTCTCCCTCGCGGGTGCAGAATCCCACAGCTTTGGGCCGTCCTCGACTGCTTTCCCAGGCCACAAGCAGGGAGCTGGATGGGAAGCAGAGCTGCTGGGATTAGAACTGGCGCCCATATGGGATCCCAGCGCATTCAAGGCGAGGACTTTAACCACTAGGCCATCACACAGACCCTTCCTTCATGTTTTCTTAATCCCAGGTGTGACTGCGTTCCTCATTTCCACTCTTCTGGCACACTGTCATCATTGCCATCAAGCCTCTGCCTTGCTTCATTTTCTGAAGATTTATGTATTCATTTGAAAAGTAGACCAATAGAGAGAGAGAGGTTTTTCATCCTGCAGTTTACCCCTTAAATGGCTGCAACAGCCAGATGTGGACAAAGCCAAAGCCAGTGGCCAGAAATTCCATCTGAGTGTGCTTCATGATTGCCAGGGATTGTCTTCTGCTGCCTTGCTGGACGTGTTAGCTGGCCAGGAAGCAGACCCGGTGGGCCTGAAACTGCTCCCCTGAGAGGGGATGCTGGTAATGCAAATGGCAGCTTCACTTGCAGGGCTACGAATTCAGGCCAGTTAGCCCTTGTCTTCACTCTCCTTTGCCAGTGGCATGTGAGAGTGTCCTTTGGATATTGTATGTGAATTTTCAGTTCACTTCTGTGCAAGTCTACACCTCACACGCTCTCATTTTTCTTACTCAGCGTGTCGTTCAGACCTGTTGTCACTGCATCCTTATTCTCTTTGAGGTGAGTACCCACAGTTCAGTTATTCAGACCTGGAACCTCTCCATCGCCTGCTAGATACCACGTGAACCGCCTCACGCTTGCCCTCTAGTGGCGTATGTGAAGATTTCTCTGGACTGTGTATCAACAATGAGATTGAATAAAGGTGTTTTTTTTCCTTTTCCAGTTTTTTTTTCCCTCTTCTTTAAATATATATATATATATTTATTTTTATTTAAAAAGCAGAGTTACCGAGAGAGGAAGAGAGTATAGACAGAGGCAGACCACCCACTGGTTCACTCCCTCAAATATCTACAATAGCCAGAACTGGGGTGGTCCAGAGCTAGGAACCAGGAGCTTCCTCCAGGTCTCCCACATGGGGACCTAGGACCAGGGCCATCCTTTCCTAGGCACATTAGTAAGGAGCTGGGTCAGAGTGGAGCAGCCTGGACTCAAACCGGCGCCTGTATGCAATGCCAGTACTGCAGGCAGAGGCCTAAATAATTGCACCAGTGCACCAGCTCCACAAGACTGGTTTGCTTTTTTAAATATTTATTTATTTTTATTGGAAAGGCAGATATACAGAGAGGTGGAGGGACAGAGAGGAAGATCTTCCATGTGATGATTCACTCCCCAAGTAGCCACAATAGCCAGAGCTGAGCCAATCCAAAATCAGGAACCAGGAACTTCCTCCGGGTCTCCCATGTGGGTTCAGGATCCCAAAGCTTTGGGCTGTCCTCGACTGCTTTCTCAGGCCAAAGGCAGGGAGCTGGATGGGAAGTAGAGCTGCTGGGATTAGAACTGGCGCCCATATGGGATCCTGGGACGCATTCAAGGTGAGGACTTTAGCTGCTAGTCCTGCGCCGGGCTCCACAAGGCTGTTTTAAAGTATCTTTTGTCATCTATTTTGGTCATGGTCTTATCAAAAATGCAAATGTGGGGGCCTGCCTCCAATCTCAGCTACTCTGCTTCCAAGTCAGCTTCCTGCTGAGGGGCACACCCTGGGAGGCAGCAGCCAAGGATTCAGGTATTTGGGCTGCCAGCCACATGGGAGATCCAGCTGGGGTTTCAGCTTCTGGCTTCAGCCTGGCCCAACCCAGGTGGCCAGGGGCATTTGGGGCAATGAACCATTGGGTGGGAGCTCTCAT